TAGGAGGGAGCCTATCGTCTTTACTGACCGGGATCTCCCTCCTACCGGTGAAGATCACAATGATCCATTGGTCATCACCATGGACATTAGCGGGGTGGATGTCGCCCGGGTACTTGTTGACACCGGCAGCAGTGTCAACATCTTATACCTGGAGACCTTCCAAAAACTCAGGTTGTGTCGAACACAACTTGAACCCCTCAAAACCCCTCTCTCAGGCTTCACGGGGGACACCGTTGAAGCTGAAGGATCCATAGTTCTACCGGTCGAACTAGGATCAGGTGAAAAGACCGTGTGGAAGAAGATGCGGTTCATAGTTGTGGACATCAAATGCGTCCACAACGCAATTCTTGGAAGGCCAGGCATCAATAAAGTCGGGGCGGTGATTTCCATGACTCACCTATGCATGAAGTTCCACACTCCAGGTGGTGTGGGTGAGGTGAAGGGCGACTAGAGGAACGCCCGGGAGTGCTATGCCCGGGCACTCAAGAAAATGACCAGGGGGGTCAATGTCATCTCCCAAGAGATCACAAAGCGAGAGACCCGGGAGAAACTGGAGCCCGAGGCTGAGACGGTGGAAATCGAACTTCACCCGAGTGATTCTTCGAGGATGGTCAGAATTGGAGCAAATCTCCCCGAGGATCTCAAGGAGCAGATTACACGGGTCCTCCAAGAATACGCGGGCATATTCGCATGGAGCGTGGCGGATATGCCCGGGATAGATCGCTCTGTTATCTGCCACCGGTTGGCCGTGAGAGAAGGAGGTCGACCGGTACGCCAAAAGAAGCGGTACCTGGCCAGTGACCGGCGAGATTTCGTCAAGAGGGAAGTGAAAGACCTCCTCAGTGTTGGTCACATCCGGGAAGTCAAGTACCTGGATTGGCTGGCCAATGTTGTCCTCGCTCCCAAGGGCGACACGTGGAGAATGTGTGTGGATTATACGGACTTGAACAAGGCTTGTCCGATGGATTCATGCCCCCTCCCCAGTCCAGATCAAATGGTGGACGAAACTGCGGGGTGCGAACTCCTAAGTTTCATGGATGCCTTCAAGGGTTACTACCAAATCTACATGGCCAAGGAGGATGAGGAAAAGACGTCATTCCTCACACCCGAAGGAACCTACTGCTATCGGGTAATGGCGTTTGGCTTGAAGAACTCGGGGGCAACCTACCAGCGCATGGTGAACAAGCTCTTCAAGCCACTAATGAGAAAGACCATGGAGGCATACGTCGACGACATGCTGATCAAAAGCCAGGTATCTCTGAACCACCCGGCTGATATGCGAGCCACGTTCGATATCATGGCAAAGTACAACCTCCGGCTGAATCCTAAGAAATGCATCTTCGCGGTTCGTACCGGGAAGTTCTTGGGATTCATGGTGACCAAGAGAGGAATAGAGCCCAACCCAGAGAAAAACTGGGCTATCACTGAAATGCAAGCCCCTACCTCCGTTAGGGATGTTCAAAAGTTGACCGGTCGTTTAGCGGCCCTCAGCCGGTTCCTTTCCCGGTCAGCTGAGAGATCCCTGCCCTTCTTCAAGGTTCTGAAGAAGGCCATCGCATTTGCATGGGACGAAGAATGCCGAAGGGCATTCGAGGAGCTGAAAGAGTACCTAGCGTCGGATATTGTATTGTCTAAACCCGAACCGGGTGAAACTCTGTATCTGTACCTGGGAATTTCCTCAAATGTTGTTAGCTCCGTTTTAATAAGAGATGATGGGGCACAAAAGCCCATTTATTATGTGAGCAAAGCACTAAACGGGGCCGAGAGTAGATATACGGCGATGGAAAAGACAGCCTACGCACTTTTCATCTCCGCAAAAAAGTTAACATCCTACTTCCAAGCTCACCCGGTAGAAGTCTTAACTGACCAACCGCTGGGTGCAGTGTTGCGAAAGTCAACATCCTCCAGGAGGATGGTGAAGTGGGCAATGATGTTAACTCAATTCAATATTGAGTACCGGCCAAGGTCAGCAATCAAGGGGCAGGCGCTAGCTGACTTCCTAGTAGAAATGACCGGTCTAACTCCGGACTTACCGGTCAGTAAGCCCACTGAGCAATGGTGGGAGATGGCAGTTGATGGGGCATCCGGTCCTTGGGGATACGTGGGTGGTATCGTGTTCACCACCACAGAAGGGTTCAAGATCTACCATGCAATCGTCTTCAACTTCAAACTGACGAACAATGAGGCAGAATATGAAGCTCTGGCTGGAGGGCTCAGACTTGCCCAAGCCCTGAAAATCAGCCGGGTCAGCATCAAATCTGACTTTAACCTGATAGTTGGGCAAGTGACCGGTAACATGGAAGCAAGGGAAGGACGAATGGCACAATACAAGGACCTTGTACATGCCCCGTTGAGAGGCTTCGAAGAGTTTAAGATCGCCCAAATTCCCCGTGCGGAAAACGCGGATGCAGACCTTCTCTCCAAATTGTCGCAGTATGCTCCCGAGCATGTTTCAAAACTTGCCCGGGTAGAGATCCTTGACCGCGCAAACATCAAAAAATTGGAAGTCGCCGCTATAACGGCCGGAAGCCAATTTGACCGGTCAAACTTGGTCGGGGCGGACGATCATTGGATGTATGATCTGATGGAATATTTGGTGGATGGGAGCTTACCAGAACAAGATGACCGGGCAAGAAAAGTGAAGCTCAGGGCACCCCGATTCCAGATTCTTGATGGAAAGCTGTATAAAAGGGCATTTGGGGGGCCACTCCTGATATGTCTAACCAACCGGGAGGCTGAGCGAGTCATCGCGGAGGTCCACGAAGGCGTATGCGCGGCGCATCAAATGTCCCGTACGCTTTCCCAGCGCATCATCTTGTTGGGATATTACTGGCCGACAATTGTACAGGATTGTGAAAGGTACGTCCAGAAATGCAGGACGTGCCAAGTATTCTACAAATATCCCGGTAGACCTGCGACCTACTACCACCCCGTATCGAATGTCATCCCATTCGCTAGATTCGGGGTTGATATCATTGGAGCCTTCCCAGTCGCCCAAGGAGGGAAGAAGTTTGTAATCGTAGCCATCGATTACTTCAACAAGTGGATCGAGGCCGAAGCATTGGCCAGCATTACCACGCAACAATGCAAGAAATTCATTTGGAAGAACATCATCACAAGGTTTGGAGCGCCCATGAACCTCATCACCGACAACGGCCCACAATTCCGAAATCCAAGATTCACTGAATACTTGGAAGGCTTCGGGATCAAGCACAATCGTTCCTCGGTAGCGTACCCCCAAGGGAATGGCCAAGTCGAAAACGCCAACCGAACGATTGTGGATGGTCTAAAGAAACGGCTGGGAGAAGCAGGAAGCAAGTGGCTGGAAGAGCTCCCACACATCGTATGGGCATTCCGAGTAACACCCAGGAGGGCTCACGGGGAAACTCCATTCTCCCTAACCTATGG